CGCGCCCCCCCCCCCCCGCCGCCTCCCGGGCGGCCGCCCCGCAGCGAGCGGGGAGAAGCGCCGGAGGGCACCACGGCCTCGGGGCAGAGCCTCACCTCGGGCCGTCTCGCCCAGCCTGAGAGGCGCCAGGGTGGAGAGTGGTGCGCTGCAGCGCTTAAAAAAAAACAAAAAAACAAACCCTGAGAAGCTGCAGGTCCGTGGGGACACAGGGAGCTGCAGGTCGCGATGGGCTCGTCCGCAGGGCTCGTGGGAGACAGGGGAGAGCAGGCTCGCCAGAGGCCTCGGTGGGGTGCTTTGCCACAGAAGCGGGCGCTGTTGCAGTCGTTCGTGGTGCAGCAGTGATCTCCCTTTCCCTCCGACTTCCACTGATGCTATAAAGTCATCTGTCCCTTACAGTGGTTTGGAGCAGAGTTTGCTTCAAGGGAAGAAACACATGTAAGTTGTTAACTCAGTGCTTCAGAGAAGTCAACAAGACGCACTCCGTGCGTGAAAATGGGACTTCTAAGCGTTTACTTGATGTCGTTAAAAAAAATTGAAGTTTGACGATGGAGTAAAATACATCCTTGATGGATGCCCTGAAAGGCAACAGGATCAAGTAGATTTTTTTTCTCTTAGGGGTAAGTTAAGTTCTCATGTGCTGTGGGCTGCATTGTGTTGTAGAAGGGCGACTAGGGAAAAAAAAAAAAAAAGACCACCAGGTAAAGATAAATCTATTTCATCATTTCATATCCAATAATACACACAGGCAGATCTTTAGATCTTAGAACTTTAAAGCATAGTGCAACTTAGGTTTAAACCTTAACCTCGTATAGGGTTTAGATGTTTTACACTGGTAAGCATCGTTCTTAATTAAAAACACAACAATATTTTAAACCTCATTCATGTCTACTCCTGGCATAACTCCATCAAATTCTGCCATTGGACTATGCAGAATCTGTAAGTTAACCCGGAAATAAGATTTAGAGGCTAAAAAGGTAACAGGGCTCTCTCCCATGCTAAAAATGAAAAGGATAGGGTAAAAATTGTATTAAGGGAGAAAATAAGTTTCGCCAAATATCAGAATTTTGGGAAGTACCTTTATTCTTTGGTCTTTTGTCCCAGGGTCTTTTCGTTTTGTTTAAAGTCAGGGGATGCATAACTCTTAGTGATGCTTTTAGAGAAAGCCCTAGAAGCTTATAGGAAACCACAAGCCCGATTTCCTGTTAGCTGAAGTAGAACACGACTTCAGGTCGTGACTTATTTGCAAGTCCTATATACCTTTTACGTACGTTGGACAGTTTCAGCCAAAAAGTGATAAAGGGGCAGTGGTCTAAATGGCATGAAGTTTCTATAAATTTGCTAACAATTGAGGAAAATTAGGAGGCAAAAGCTGTAGAGCATAACCTGCTTCCAGCCCTTCTGATAGTTAAGGGAGTTGAGAATACGCTGGGGATGTTGTGGGGAGAAAAGATAATACAGAAAGAGTATAATCAAAGAACTTCATATGTGTTTTGGCACAATTGGCATGTTTAGCAAAGATGAATGGAAAAGAGCAAAGAGTAAGAACTTTGGTGTCAGGAAATGCTACATAGTAGCGAGAGCTCATAGTGCAAATAGTATTTTGGATCTGTGGCCTCCAGTACTCAGCTGTCTATGCTTTATCCTGGAAAGCCATTAAGTGGCACCTTCTTCAGTGGTGTAGAATTTATTACCAGAATTTTTCTGGTCTGAGAACAGCTATATCCGTTTGAACAGGGGCTCAGTTGGTGCTTAATTAAATACTGTTTGTAAAAGTGTTTAAAAACTAATTGCCTTTTTTTGTGTGTTTTTTTTTTTTTTTAAGATTGTGACTAAAAGAGCTCTCAGAAACACCACCACCTCTGTGTATACCTCTGTTAACACAATCATAGAAGTAAGTATATTTTTTACTACCACAATATCAGCCAGGCTTACCAATCCAGCACTGTAGAAGCAATAACTAATACACCGAGAAGTATGAACACTTAAGTAGCAGGTAGAAGCATGCTGTTCTTCATATTGCATGTGGGTGGAATGCAGACTTAGAAATAGATATCACAGGTCTCTAATGAGCTTACTAGGTAGCTGAAAAAGCTAGTGTATGGCTTGTTTTGAGACAAAGAAGCTTCTCCATTAGCTCAAGGAATATGAAATTGTACTTTTTCGGCAGATGGTAAAAATTTTAAACCTGCACCGATGTTGATATGTATCAATGTCTGCCACATTGTATTTTGTGTTTGGTGCAGTATCTCACCTTCAACTGAAAAAGAAAAGAAAAATCCTAAAATCCATTTTTGGAGATAGCAACATTTGCCCTTAGCGCAGCTGACTAGGGACTCCAGCTTCAGATCCCTTAGATCTTGAAGAATCAGAGAAATAATAACATTCATCAACAAACAAATTTACTATCTTCAAAATATCTCTAAGGTGTCTCATAATCAGTGATTGTATCATGAACTTACTTGTTGCTGTACAAATGTACCACAAAACAAAGTGTTTGCTGCAGGGGTTTAACAATCCAGAAGGAATGACTCCGTATCAGCTGCAAATAGTAGTTGTCATTGCCTTTAGAAATACATTATACTTTACAGCCTTGGAAAAGTAGAAGTCCTGTTTTTCCAAATAAAGAGAAACACAAGGAACAGTTATAATGCTTCAGCCTTCTTTTGAAAATGAAGACATGGGTCAGGTTATTTGTAAGGACAAGCTAAGAACCATATGCTTCAGAGACAAGTTTCCCTAGTACCTACACTAGCACGATGCTTCAGTATTACTCTTTCCTAAATCACTACACATTATTGACACTATAGAGTTCCACATCATAATAAAGGTACTATGGCTGAACACCTGATTTAATGTCCTTCACACAAAAATTAAGCATCTATCAACCAGTTGTCGCTATACAGCGGCAGCAGAGACATGGTGATCTTTTCCTGTTTAGACAGAGCAAAACTAGCCTGAAATAATCTTAGGTACATGCTGTGAAAGAAAACTATTGAAGGAGGCTTGTAAGAGGCTCATTTTTGTTGAGGAAAACCAGAAGCAGATTTAACTGTATTCGTACTGCATGTTTGAATGACTTGGAGGGGAGATTATAATGTTCTAATAAACATCATTTTGTGTGCAATTGAGAAGACACAAATTAGTGTTTCACACCAAACATGAAACTACAGGGAAGAAAACTAGTAACAGTCAGTAACTAGCGACACTGATCTGTCCAGCTCATAGAATACCTTTGCCAACTACAGAGAGATGGTTATTTCACTGAATTTTGACAGTGTACAACTTTGATGGTGTAAATCATTATGTTTCTTTCATATTCTTGTTGAAAATATTCTCATGCATTCTGATCAATTCCTGAATTAACACTCATTTATATATATATATAATAATATACACACACACACACACTTTATTTCTGGGGCCTGTTTTTTGTAGCTGTCGATAGGCTTATTTACATACTCTCTTCAGAAGGTCAGCAAAGATCATTCAGAAATTCAAATGCGTTTTTACCTTTCCAGATATCCAGTAATACTAGGAAAACCTGATGGCAACAGCAGCTCGGTTAACGGCTTTTTTGATGCTTTAATTACAGGAGCCAAGAGTATAGAATATAACCACCTGAACAGATAACAGAATTTTTTTCTTGCATAGAGATTTCTGTCTTAGTCCTTCTCTGAGATCTCATATGTACTGAAGCTTTCCATTCCCCAAACACTTGAAACATTCATTACC